GGCTTTAACATGGCTCGGCTGGGGTTTGAACCAAAAATCTCTCGCAGCCAGAGCGGACGCTCTAGGTCACCGGAGCGGTTAAACTTTCATAAGAACGAACTAATGAAAGGTTTATCCTCTTTATAACAGCCGATTACCAGGAGCTAAAGGTTTGGGTATGACGCTGGAATCGTTCCAAAAGAAAAATAGTTACTATATCTAGTTTATTATTATTATTATTATTATTATTATTATTATTATTATTATTATTATTATTATTGTTGTTGTTGTTGTTGTTGTTGTTATTATTATTATTATTATTATTATTATTATTATTATTATTATTATTATTATTATTAATTTTTAAAAAATCAACTAAATTTACCAAGATAATGTTCATAATATAGAGAAAAATTCTTCTAAAGTTTCTAACATGCAGTCGAGCCTGTATTGTACTGACACTGCTGAGATGTAGAATAAATTGGCTTCTTAAGTCAGGGTGACCGACTAATACAGATTAATTTCTATTTTAATTTAATAGGAACTACAAAAAAAAACAGAACAGATACTTGGTGCATAGTGGCAAACTTGAAGGGCTGTGCAACTGTAGATACTTTTTGCTAATACAAAAAAAAACGGTATTGACGACAGATACATGCTGCATAGTGGCAAACTTTAAAGTACCTCAGCCCAAATGTAGTTAATTTTCGCTTTATTATGTCATCATTGTTCCCCTTCCTATAGCCAAAACCCATACTGTATTTACGCATTGAGAATTAAAGGATAGGGGTGGAATTTGAAAAAAAAAGACGAAAAATCGTACCCACCTTTATTCAAATACTGTAATATAGTATGTTTGACGTTAGTGACTGCTTAAAATCACCACAAAAACGACAACTTCGACAAACTTATTTAAATTAGTATAGGAAGTGAAATAAACTTACTAGATCTTAAAGAAGCTTTTGTGCATTTTTGTAAAGAATCGAAAGAAAACTAGTATCGAAACGGATAAATAATACTTGTGCAGACGTTGTAATATCGCCAAAGATACTTATTTTTTTAATCCGCAAAAAGTTGACTACAATTGGAACATGGTTTGAGACAAGCTCGTTTGTACACGACTGTCACTGTATGTAGGAAAGAATATTTTATGTAATCGTAGGTTACAATGCGACATATATGATCTTTTCTAAATAACTAATAGTGTATATGTCATTGGGGGGTTAAGCCATGCCATAAATTTAGACAGTAAGACTAACGAATAAACTTTCGTAAGATGGGAAAAGCATGGTTGGACAGGGTCTTGAAAATGAGACCTCTCTGACTCTTGCGGGGGGGGGGCGCTATACTGTCGTAGCTATCCAAACAGATGTTCTGGACTCATTTCTAAGACACGTGAAATAAATAAAATTGATTTGAACGACATGCAAAGTAAATACTGTCATACGGCACAACCAGTACCGGCTTTAAGCATAAGCTAAGCAAGCTACATCTTAGGGATCCAAACTCTGAACTCAGTCTGAAAGACCCCCTTAAATTTATTTTATACCAAACATGGCCTCTATAGCTTCCCATAGCTTAGGGCCTCGCTTTGTCTAAATCCGGCACTGGGCACAATTAAATACCGATCACGGGTATCCACATTTTCGACTAATGTAATGCATATATTACAAACTTTTTAACACATCTTAGAAGCCTGATACATTTTTTTTTAAATAGAAAAGTCTAATACTCAGATTTGATTTATGATAAAACACTAATTGATTAGCCTTGATCTCAGGGGCGAAGTATTCAACAGGCCTTGTAGGCACTATGCATGTGGCTTACGAAACCATGTTAATGAAAAGCGTATACACTCAGAGGTCGAGTCATGTAAGAGTCTATTAAAGACGTGCCGAGGGCCTACAAGGACATTATTCTGGCCCTGCTGGATCTGATAACTCTGTTGAAATTTATTGAAATTATTTTCAAATCAATACTGCCCATCGATAACATTGCCATTATGCAAGTCGAAGATACGACCTTTCTCTTTGGATTGAAGTGGTCATTTTGATACAGTCACGAATGGAAGAAGTCACCCGTACCATGCTGGTAATGATTAATTTGCGTGAACTGAGATATGAATGTGAAAAAGGGCTTTGTTTTCTGAATGTAATGTCAAATCATTTCAGCCTAGACCTCTGATATGCTGATATGTAAAAACCATGATAAACTATAAGAAATTTCCTAAAAAGACAAAAAATTAAGAGCTTTCCGAATAGGACATTACAATAAAAAAACCCAAACTAATAGGATATCAATGTAAGAGCTTTCCGAGTGTGACATTTAAATAAGAGCTTTTGGAGTAAGATACTACTGTACGTGTTTTCCGGGTAAGACACTACAAAAAAAAAGATTACCGAATAGGATACCAATGGAAGAACTTTTCGAGTAAGATACTACTGTACGTGCTTTCCGATTAAGACACTACAATAAGAGATTACCGAATATGATACCAATGAAAGAGCTTTTCGAGTAAGACACTATTGTAAGAGCTTTTCGAGTAGGACACTACTGTAATTGCTTTCAGGGTAAGACACTACAAAAAAAAGATTACCGAATAGGATACAAATGAAAGAGCTTTTCGAGTAAGACACTACGGTACGTGCTTTCCGGGTAAGACACTACAAAAAAGATTACGGAATAGGATACCAATGAAAGAGCTTTTCGAGTAAGATACTACTGTACGTGCTTTCTGATTAAGACACTACAATAAGAGATTACCAAATAGGATTCCAATGAAAGAGCTTTTCGAGTAAGACACTACAGTACGTGCTTTCAGGGTAAGACAGTGCAAAAAAGATTACCGAATAGGATACCAATGAAAGAGCTTTTCGAGTAAGACACTACGGTACGTGCTTTCCGAATAAGAGACTACTGTAAGTGGTTACCGAGTAAGTCACTACTGAACGAGCTTTCTGATTAAGACAGTACTGTACACTTTCCTAGTAGGAAACTAATGTAAGTGCTTTCCGAGTTAGACACTACTAAAAGAGCTTTCAGAGCAACACACTGTTGTAAGAACTTCCGAGTAGGACATTACTGTTCGTGCTTTCTGAGTAAAACTCTATTGTAAGTTTTCCTAGTAAGATACTATTGTAAGAGCTTTCCGAGTTAGACACTATCAAATGTCCATTATTTACGCTATCTGATACATATCAAAAAGTAAAAGTGGGTTCATTGGTTAGCGAAAATGTTTTTACCGATGTCCTTATTCATTTCCTTAAAAGTACGGATCGATTTCCCTCAATGCGGGTCGACTCGAGTGATAGTTATATATTTATATGATTAGTCTCAGGATTTTGAAGAAAAAAAATCAGTCGAGCTTTCTACCAGTATAGAACATATATCATGAGAGCAGGTTTGACTAGCTGACCAGTACTGCCCACGCTAGTAAGGAAGAAATAAAAGTACACCATAAATGTAACAGATGTTCAATATCTGAAAGCATTTTAAAAAATCATTTCCTATCTCGAAAAATGGATAGGCCTTCTATATACCATATGTCCCATCTCAAGTTTATGAACTTTCTAAATATGATCCCGGAAAGAAACGGACGATGACTGCTCTTATCTGTATTTATTTGATGGAAGGAAACTCTCGTCTAAAACCAGCATTGAATTAAACATTGTTTCCTCCAGCTAGGTTTATTTCGGCCTCACCTTCGCTCTATTATAAACAAGCAACACCTGATGACACAGAAAACATATAACTGAACAAGTTATTTTTTCACGCTATTTCTCTTTCATACCTTTATGTTATCGTCATCATTAAGGCAATTTGAAACAAGCAAATTCGTGCTCAATTAAGAAAAATGAAAAGGAAATTTTTTTGTTGCAGAGATCCCTGTTCAAAACTAGAAACAATGAATATTTTTATTAAATGTACAGAATTGCTTGACAACGCCTAATTATATTTTTTTTTTTATAAAAAATATGTATTAACCGGTGTGTAGCATTAAAATATATTGGGACGGTTAAGGGTTTATGTTCCCCATCAAGCCGTCAAACTTTATATTGACTTTTTATATTTGTTATGCACGTGTTTTCTTAGCAAATGAAAGAAGCATCTTTTTATCATGATGCGAGTCTTTGCGATTTCATCTTTATCAGTTCCTTACTTAATTTCTTAGGAAAACTAAAGAAAAATACTTAAAATATAAATATAAACGTCGATTATACCAATTGCAGCAATTAAAGAACTGATGCGAAATTGTATCTTCAAGAATCGTTCCGGACAACTTAAGGTTTATGTGCCCGATATTGTCATTACACCATGCATTATATTGTGCCATATCATTTCATAGTATAAACTCTGTATAGTAGTAACTGACAAGAGTACCTAGATCCAGTATTGTAATTAGAAATTGGTACAATTATTTAATCAACTGCCAATTGAACAAGCAATTTAGTTTCTTTTAACGGAGAATAAAGTTGTGGCTGCTACCATCTTTCGATATGGTCTTGGTTTGGTCTTCTATGGCATAGCTACACAAGTAACTTAGTTCTGAAACGTTTTATATAAAATACTTGCTACGTGCATCGCCAAGGTAGTAGACCAGGGCTGATCTGACCTTGCAAAGTGCATCCCCATGGTAGCAGACATGGCTGATCCTTGCCACGAGATTCCCCACGGTAGCAGATGTCGACTGATCCAATTGTAGGTTTCGAACTGGCTATCTTTCGGTCGCATGCTGGTGGGAGAATCTGTTGAAGAGCACACAGGCGTAACTATGTGAAACTTAACACTTGATGTGTGTGAATGTGTGTGTGTGTATGTGTTTGTGTGAGTGTGTGTGATTTAGATATTTAACGTAACTCCAAAAAAAATCAGCCATATCGTTACTGCATAATCATGCCGCAGACATATAGCACGATGTCCACCCAGTCACATCATCCTGACACCAGGTCGACTAGTCATAACACTAACCTCTTAATGCTGAACGCCTAGCGAGGCAGCTGTTAGTACCATATTTATAAGTATGACTCGGCAGGGGTTTGAACCCGTGACCTCCATCATCCGAGGCTGTCGCTCTAACCACTAGGCTGCCGGAGCGGTTTAACACTCATTGGGGATGGAACTTTTAACAATTACTACAAGTTCAAATATGTTTGATACATTTAAGACTTTAGACTAAAATTAAGAAGGTCTGCCTCAGACTGAAATTTCTTCCTACTTGAACCAAGAAAAGCTTAAAGATGCATCATAAATCTATTCAGCAAATGACCAAAAATCAAGAGTGTGGAATTTAATAAACAAAAATCGAACTTTAATAAAATTAACTAAATTCGAAACATAGATAAATTGAAGATAAAGATTAATATTATTTGCCATTTTGGCTAGCCAAAGCTCCGATAACCTCACTTACACCTTGGCATATCGAGCATCCAATCAAAGTTAAGTTGTTCAAATTTGATCGAGAAAAGGGGAAAACACAATTTGAACTGACTGATAAATAAGCAATTTTCCAGAGTAGGTCCGTGTTTGCTTAAATACCTTTCACTCAAATACACATGTAGTGGATTTCCTCTGGTACATAGTCATACTTTCGATGTTAAACTTACAAAGTATCCTTTTTATGTCAATTGCAACCACCGTTTTCAGCAGATATACAATGTACCACGTTAATGGTTAGTTGGCATTATATACTAAGGGAGGCAACACAAGAAATCTAATAGATGTCGCTAGGACAAAGCACTAATATAACTGTTCGATCCGCCAAGGTGTAGATAGGGTTATCGGAACCTTGGCTTGCGAAGACGAATATTTGTAAGATTGTCCAAATATTAAATAATCATTTACACTAAGACTGATACACAGCTTTTATGCTTGAAACGCAGATTCCGCTTTGTTGAAGAAAGCAACTTTCTACTACCATTGGCTATTTTCCGTCTCTGAATGCACGGTATTCAACCCTCAAGATAACTACGCTTTTATGCCATCAAAAGATGTCAGTGATAGAAAAATTATGATCTGTTTGTAAGTGAAAGTTGTTTAGTTGATGACTACCGTACTTTTCTGATGGTCAATGGGGTCGGTTCGTTAAGCTGTGGAGGAAATATAAAGTGCCTCTCCACATGCAGAAAGCGATTCTGTTGAATAAAAAGTACGCTTGGTGGCAGACCTCACTGCAAAATAGAGAGACTTTCATTTGAGAATGGCTTTTACCTCCACACTGCCCAAACAAAACGTTTATATTCAAATGCAAGTTTGACCAGTGTACACAATCATATTCCGAAGAGATTTCCATCCGCTCAAATTGGGATCGAAAGCGATTTGAGACCTCTTTGGCATAACCAATGTTAAACCGTAAACGGGGAGGTTGAGTGAGTTAGTATTTTATTCAGTGATAATTTTGTTTCGCTTTTTTTGACACATTTTCCTCACTAAATATTATGGAACACACGGACAGATAGGGAAGATATTTTTTTCTCTTCCAGCAAAAACTCGGACAGGAAATTTTGTATATTTAGAAAATAGAAAGAAAAAAAAACAATCAGCCCGTCACTTCCCATGAAGGGGTAGGTGCCTTCTTTCTTGAGCCCCATACGAACCCCCCGCTTCTTTAGTAAATTATGCATGAAAGAATAAACTGCAATAAAAAACAATTATGACGCTCATAACGTTAGAGCATGCATAAAACACCAGTCACTTTTACGTCCATATTTTCTGGAAAATCCATAAAATATAACTTCCACTCTGAGAAAGAAACGGAAGCGAGATATCCGCAAAATGAAAGAGAAAAATGTCTGGAACATTTATTTACATCAATCTATGTATGTATGTATGTATGTATGTATGTATGTATGTATGTATGTATGTATGTATGTATGTATGTATGTATGTATGTATGTATGTATGTATGTATGTATGTATGTATGCATGCATGCATGCATGCATGCATGCATGCATGCATGTATGTATGTATGTATGTATGTATGTTTATATATATATATATATATATATATATATATATATATATATATATATATATATATATATATATATATATATATATATATATATATATATATATCGAGTGAGACAATATCGTTATTATTACCTTATTTCATGGATGTTCTGATACAGCGTAGATATTTTCGTCTATATAGAAATGTTTAGATACCGTGAAGACATTTTCGTCTCTTCGGGGTTGTTTGGATACCATGTAGATATTTTCGTCTCAACAGGGACGTTTAGAATACAGTGCACACATTTTCGGTTTTGGAAACAAGAAGGTGTAAAAGTATCATGATAAATTCGCACAAAAAGGTCATTATACCGGTTCTAATCAGAGAAAAGATCTTAATCATTTTACGCTTCATTGCATTTTGATAACTCTATTCGCAAGTATCTTAAATAAAAGCTGTGATAAATAAAATTTTATCAGCATTTTCAAAGTCAGTTTTCAACTATTTTTTTATTATCTCGTCAATTAGACGAGGCGGGCTTTATGGTGACTTTCAGGATATGAGTGGTTACTATGACTAATCGTATCGTATAATTGGATATAATATCGATGCTAAAATCGTATAATTTGATAGAATATCGATACTAAAATCCAAGTGATAGATATCATGTTTTCGCCATCATGTAACAGACTATAAATTTATTTTACCTTAAAGACAGTAAGAACATATTTCATCACCATATAGGCAGGCAAGGTGCTTATGCGTTTAAATGGACTCTTTCAAACTACACCCCAACTCTCCAAATCCTAAACACCGAAAAGGGGAGGGAATCTGAATAATAGATATACCGCATGCCTTCGATGAGTAAGAAAAGTTCGCCATGCCAGAGATGATTTGTAATAATTGTCCTCAAAAATTGTGTATATTTCTCAGCATTCAAAACACACACAGACACATGCTCGCCACCACCCCCCATTAACCACATGGTTTATATGCACATACAACAAAGAAGAAAATGCGGGGGGAAAAAAGGTTTTCTAGGCTTCAACATTTTGGTACGACGGAGATCGGTAAGACAGGCTGGAGGCCGATAGTGCGATTTTCAAACTTTAATTTGCTTTTGATGTAACCCCGTTTACTGCAAAGTGTAGAAATTGACCAATATGAACTCAGCCCGTACCCATCTCTGAGATATTAAGGAAAATTAAATTATATTTCTAAGGGTATCCACAATTCTTTTTGTAAACTAAAACGATATGCATTTGATATCCGTTACGGATCACTGCCATCTCACCTCTGTCTGCGTGGGTTCGAGTCTAAGATTCGGCGAATGTGGATATATGATAAAGCTTGCCAGTAGCTTCTCGTGGGTCGGTACTTCTTTCTGCGGAATTCCCGGTTTCTTCCTCCAACATTAATACTGACTGCCATGTATAGTCTATCGTACGCTGAAAAATAGCGTTAAGCCCCAGAACAACATTTCATATCGAAAGGACATAAAAACACAACCATATGACACATTATTAAAAAAATTATCTTCCTGAATGAAATTAATTTTGAAGCCCAAAAATACTTAGCATTCTAATGCTGCTGAAAAAAAATCTGCCTAATTATGAAATTAATTAAATCGGACAATGACTGATTGTGGAGAAAAGGAGAGAAGGAAACGGGTCTCGTTCTAATGCGTTAATCTTACTTATCAAAGAAACATTGGTATCCGCAATAAAGTAAAGTAAGATACGCAAATAAAGTAACATCAGCTGTACGTTGCAGGTTTGAAAAGCGGAATCCATTATAGAATCAAAAATAAATACCTCGGTCTGCCAAGATAGTATCTGCTGATGAATTACGCTGTTTGCCGTGGTTGCGAAATCAGTGGAAATCGTAAGATAGCGTAGCCTATGATTACTCCAGCAACTATATGGTTTCCTTTTGATTAATTATCTATTAAAAAAATATTTATGAAGTAATTATAATAGAATGATCAGGCTAAACTGTTTGCTGGGGAGTCTTGTGGAAGTGCAATCAGGAATGCCTTTTGAGACCCTGTTTGCGAAGACTGCATATTTCGTCTTCTTTTTCATGTACGTACTCTGAAACATAACTCCAATAAACTGCATGTAACTAAAGAGAATATTTCAAAAAGGCAGAAAAATTAAATAACCAGTAACTGAAAGTTTGAAGTATGAAAGACGATGGAGAATACCGTATATACTCGTATTGGTTGTGATCGAACTGATCAGATCATGATCTCTTCTCACATAATACGCGAGTAGATAGGGGTCTATGCAGTTTGTAAGGATTATTCAGTAGAATAAACAACAGTGAGCGTGATCTACCGGCATATTATGTGATGGCAAGTCTGGTCCATGCTATTCGGAGTTAAACCGGACTTGCATGTCAGTAAATACAATTGTAGTAAAAACAGTACATGTAACACTTTGGTAGGTCGATGCTGTTTCTTTGTACATCATCATAAAACATCTCTTCAGAACTAAAAAAAGTAATGTAGAGTTTTTGTTTAAAGTTCAGAACTAATTTGACAGTTTATAGTTTTTGAAAATCAAATGTACTTGACAATTACAACTGGCTGACATATGGCACCACAAAACTGTACCATAAATTGTTCTAGTGGACATGAATATTTTATATGGGTATTTGATTTATCACTTACGTCCGACATAAAACCGTATGACCTTATTCTTGCCTAGAATGTATCATGATGCATAATGCAGGAAATATACGGAAAACAATTATATTCAGAGGGAATTAACATGCAGGTATTACTGATAGTTAAGCGCTCCTAATTCATCGGGAGCTCCTTGTTACAAGTTTTTTTTTTTTTTAAAAGCAAAGTACTCAACGTACTCTTACCATTTCGAGCCTATCATTTAGTTCAGGGTTCACAAACTCAAAAGACCTCGAGGGCCACATGAGGGCATTTTTGATGGCCCAAGGACCGCATCACATTTATTATTTCTCATGATATGTTGTTATGCCAATCATTTTGAGGGCCGCGTATTTGAGACCCCTGATTTAGAGAGAACTGAAAATTTTTAAATAAAACTAGGACAAAGATGATCTATTGATATATTTGTTAGTTGTATTTTTTTCATTAATGTTCTTGAGGCAATGACTTCTGAG